TTTTTGTACAGACAGCACTTCAGACAGCAAGTATGCTGTAGTCGGCAATCATTCGTTTTGGTACAGAGTGGGACAGGTAGGGGGTGATGTTGCTGTAGTCGAACGGTGAGACGGACGTGTAGTTCAGTTTTGGGCACGCGTACGGTGCTGCAGGGATTATATATAGGTGTAGTAGTACCTCTTCGGGCTCTTGGATACCTTTTTCTTGCTACGTGTGCGTGTTCTTTAGATCCTCAGATGGCTCTAGCACTTTCGTGACCACGGGCTGAGAGTCTTTGCTAGATTTTGGCATTTAGCAACTGGCATACGGTTTAATGTGAAGTCAACAACAACAACAACAACAACATGGAGGGATGCATTCGTGCCAAGCGATTTTGTTGCCGTTGTAGAGGGCATCTCGCTATTGAGGGCACGAGGGCACCGCTATTGAGGACCGCCGACTGTACCTCCATTTTCGTGCCGAATTTTGTCGCGCTGGTCGTTAGACTGTTACGTCAGTAAATATGACAGTCCCGCGCGGCATAGAATCCGCTGATATTGGTCGTCCGGCGGCCGGCGGCAGGTACCCCACGGGTATACACATGGCCCGACCCTCCGCTTGGACGGCAATGTTCTCGACTCACATGGGCAGCAAGGGTTGAGCTTTAAGCAACCACCCTGCACCGGCGTGTCAACGAGCGGATTGGAGGTTTCAATTCAGCTTCACCAGCAAGCTGCGGAAGAAAAGCATAATAGCGGGCAGAGGGAATGGAGGACTCCAGAATACCTGTCGGTGATTTCTAATGCCTTGCGGACCCCTCGGGGCAATTATATTTGAGTGTACCCTTTTAGGGTAAGTCAACCTGCGACCACGGGAATCGACCGCGTCGAGTGTTGGATCAGGACGGACATACGAAGGTACTGGGTAGAGAGAGATCGGAACGGTTTTTAATGTGAAGACAACAACAACAACAACAGCAGCAGCAACAACAACAACAACAACAACAACAACAACAACAACAACAACAATATACAAATGATTGTAGATGCATGAAATGATACACTGTCTTTACTTATGGTCCGCGCTGCCTGCAAATAAATGGGAAAGATAGCTATACCTTCTGCCGACACACGGGCGAGGGAGGCGACCATACCCACTGCATTTAACACACACCCACATGCCAGTGATGAAACCCCAACCGCACGCCTCTATCGGCGGCCACGTCAGGAGGCAATGATGAGATAATGTTCTCCCGTGCCCTTGTCACATTGAACGACATGCTATTACACAACAAGGTAAATATGTTCTCCCGCGCCGCACATGCCCCCATACATCACACACAATAAATGAGTTGACGAAAATATACACACCCCGAGACGCGCTTACTCTGCAACTCCCGCAACCACATAAGGGTGCTATAATAGAACACCCGACAAACCGAGGTCCCCTAAATCTTCCGTCTACAACTTCCCAAGATAACATACAGATAGATACACAAGATGGCTACCAAACTGCCTTGTTGAGCCTGTTACCCACAGGGGAGTTATAGTTGTATGCACTATGCTGTCTGGGAAACCGTAGACATACAGGTAGCCTTTCGCTCACGCTATGGATTCATTGCTAACCTATCTTGGACTTATTTCTATAGATAGAGATGGATTTGTTGTGTTGTATTACGAAAAAAAAGCAAAATGGTACATACACTGGTATGCGCACATGCGCGCAGTCACGCTTCACGGTACAACGAAAGCCGTGAAGCCGCGCGGGGACGGACACCCCTGTCCGGCCAAGCGTGATAAAACAATTGTTTGTTCGTAGCACACCTGACTCGCAGGGATGCGTCCCCAACAGACAAGCGTGCTCTTGTGCACGGCCACCACAGTCTCAGTTCCCGCGACATAGACAGCAGGCTCCTCCTCCACTGCACAAGGAAGCCCTAATCCCTGGTCCCAAAACACACGACTATAGCACTGCTGTCTCCGTGAGCCCAACGTTCGAGGGAAACATCGCGCTGGTGGTGGTGGGAAAGAGGCGTTAGGTCATCATGCACCTCGTACTCGGTCTTAGCTCTTGCCTTCGCTGCTCGCGGAAGGAGAAGCGACCAGCACAACAAGAAGAAGACGAGGCGGCAGGCCTGCTTGATCAGCCAGAGGGAATTCGCAGCGAGGGAAGCGAGAGCCTGAGAAGAATCACAGGAACACAAGAACATCCGCCTCGCCCAAAACCCGGACTGCCTTTCCCAGCTCGAACTAACTGTGGCTATCCTGGCTTTGGTCATGGTGGTGCATATTTACGTTCATGAGCCTCTTTCCGTATGTGGGGATGATGGTCAGTGAGCTTCTCCATCTCGAGTCAATCAACGAAGCAGGTGAGAGCATTGCAACCTATCGCAGTATACAGCAGTTGTTGTTGTTGTTGTTGTTTCTCACATAGCTCTAGACTATAATATATAGTCCACAAAAAATGGGGAGCCCGTGGTCTCAAAACCCGGCACATATATATGCATACGATGCCACAAACAAACAAAACAAAAATAGGGTACAAACCACTCGGAAAAGAAAACAAAATAGGGTGTTTGCGGACTGGTGTTGGGATTTCATCTTCGAAGTTGCCAGGAAGTTCGAGATGAGATCAAAATTTGATTTCGAAAACAGCTTGCGAAAATGCGAGTGAAATGTTTGTGGTCTTGATCACGCAGAAATTTCCAGGAACGCAATATTTTACTACGGCGGAGCCCCCTTTTCGGCTCTTTTCGGCATCTCTCTTTTCGGCAGCAGACTTGATCCCGCTCGGCACAACCTAAATCAGACCTTCCGCCTCCACCCCCACCGCAAGGCTACCACCACATTACACTCACAACCGCTGCTAAACAATCATGGAGAACGATGGAGGTCAACGTACTCATGAGAGGGCTGGCCCGGTTCAGTTGCCGGGTGTTCATGGCAACACGAGTCCTCCGGCGAGGGCCGCTCCCCTCGCCAGAGTTTCGGTGAACACACAGCACGAAGGCCAAGGATCTCCTCCTACTACTACCGCTGCCCCGCGGTTTAGTGATACGCGTCGCAGTCATCAACGGAGTCGATCGTCCGCGACAGATGCATCACCGGAGCACGGTCCACAGGACGCACGCGCAGCAGCTCCTCAGGCTCCCACGCCGCTTGAAGCATCTCTAACTCCATCACCTCCGCCTCCGCCTGTGCAGCACTCCTAAGGTCTATGCCGCTCGCAGCATCGCCGTCATACTCGTCACGCCGACTTGGTGTGTCACTCAAGAAGAGCATGTAGAACGGTATGCTGCGGTCCAAAGGGCGAAAATGCACCATATCGGCAGCATGCATTGCACCGGGTCTGGCGTGCAGTGACGACTGTCTAACTGCCTTGCGGTACTGTAACTGGCTCGCCATGGTAGTGTGTATCACGGCCGAGGTGTGGGTGCATAGCTAGCCTCACGGGCTGGTGCGACATGTGTCCGGACAATGTCGGGAGTATCTCGGGGAGTATAGGCCAAAGAGAAACTGTTCCCAAAAAGATAGATGCGAGCAAGATCAAATTCCATCTTGCTCGCATCTAACTGTTCCCAAAAAGATAGATGCGAGCAAGATCAAATTCCATCTTGCTCGCATCTAACTGTTCCCAAAAAGATAGATGCGAGCAAGATCAAATTCCATCTTGCTCGCATCTAACTGTTCCCAAAAAGATAGATGCGAGCAAGATGGAATTTGATCTTTTCTGCGGTCTTCGAGGGCAATTCGTACAAGCGAAATATCAAATTCCTAAAGATCCAGCGGTCTTCGGCGGTCGGGTAGATAAGAAAGATCGAACTCAAATCGAATTCCGATGTTCGCAAACACCGTAATGATAGAAAGCGAAGAACAGGTACCGCACCGACCGTTCGAGAAAAGAGCCCTCGGAAACCGATCAAAATTAAACAAAAACAAAAAAAAAAGATATTAAGAAAAAAAAAAAGAGGAGGACGCCTCCCACACCCGCCTAATGAACAAATCAAAGGGTAACGTACCAGCACCAGGCACTACGCACCAGGGCATGGGAGTAACGGAGAAAACAGGACAAAGAGGCGGCAGATGGGCATACAGCCAGACGTTCAAAAACAAAAGCAACAGCAAAAGCGAGATCAAGGTACCCAACACAGCAGAGCAGGCAGGGAAGTCATGAAAAACGAAGCACAGCACAGAGGCCGAAGGCANAACAGCAAAAGCGAGATCAAGGTACCCAACACAGCAGAGCAGGCAGGGAAGTCATGAAAAACGNGGGCATGGGAGTAACGGAGAAAACAGGACAAAGAGGCGGCAGATGGGCATACAGCCAGACGTTCAAAAACAAAAGCAACAGCAAAAGCGAGATCAAGGTACCCAACACAGCAGAGCAGGCAGGGAAGTCATGAAAAACGAAGCACAGCACAGAGGCCGAAGGCAATACAAAGGACATACACAAAGGAGCACAGCATACAGCAGGGAGGGAAACAGGGCGAAACAATATCAGCCGGGTACATAGCATTACACCGTTCCCCCCGGTGGTCTAGTGGGTAACCTCGCAGTCTGCCGTTTTATACATTCCAAATTTTTGTTCAAAAGTACAAATTTTCCGAAATTTCGGAACTTGTACAGAGTCGTTTGTCCAAATATATTAAAAAAAATTGGAACCAACCTGGGCGCCAAAATTTGTACACAGTAGCTTCCAAATTTTCCAAATGTATTGGAGCATCACAACAAACCCAGCAGCAAAAGGACCTACAGGGCCGACTACAAGGGAGAAGCAGCAGCGGAGGGTACTTGGATAGCGGCAGGGCCATGGCGGACCGCAGGAAACGCGGCGCGCCTCTTGGTTCGTCATATGCTGGCCCACCGAGCCAACGATTCAGGCGTGCTTCCGGTCGCCAAGAGCTGGTGCGGCAGATGAAAGCAGCTGCTGCTGTGGTGGTTCTCGTGCTGAGCGCGGCGGCAGTGGTCACCTCTGTAGCTGTGCACGCTAGCGCTAACAAGTCGCGTGCGGCTATTCCACGAGCCACGCGCCTGGTTTAGGAGGATCAAGCTGCTGACCTCAAGAAGCGGAAGCTCTTCCGGAGGATGTATCGCATGGAGGAACCGGTGTTTTAACAAACTGGCTGGGTGGCTGGAACCGATCCTCCAACGGAACGACTACTACGCAAGTGAGAATAGAAGACGTACGAGGCGCAGAACTCATGCCGTGGTGTTTTTCCCGTCCTTCCGTTTGTTGCTGATGCTGAATTGTAGCATTGCAGTGGACCACGGTTGCTGTAGGAACAAGGCGAATCATCCCGCAGCACCACCGCCCGCACTCTCACACCAGCAGGACGGTGACCTCCGGTGTCTGACTAGGGTTAGGGTAACAGTTTCACCGCCCAGCACTTAATATTTTCGTCTGCTGATACGTTCACGCTATGCTTATTTTGTGCTTCATGCGAAACAGGAAAACAGTATCGACGCGGCGCTGTTCCCACTAAGATCCGACTAGCTATCGGCTTGCGGCTGATGGCCGGTGCTTCGTATCTCGATGTCGCCGTGCTGTTCGGCGTGTCTAAGGAGACGGTCTTCAGCATCTTGTGGCAGGTTGTGGATGCCATCAACAGCACAGCAGAGGTTGGGCCGTTCTTTTTCCGCAGAGCGAGGATGAGTGCACCCGGCAGGCGGCAGAATGGGGGGTGCGGAAATGATACACTAGTTTACAGCAGCAGGGTAGATTGCATGTTTGCATTCTAGGAAGGTGACTATGATGTTGTGAACGAACACATGATCGCGTTTGGTGGCGGTTTAGTTTCAACATTTCTTCGAATATAGATTACAGTATGCGAACAGACGTGCGTGCGAACATGGTCAAGAACAGGCCAGGAGGCGAAAATAGACAGACAGGTGTTGTGCTGTGGTATGCCTACCGGGTCTGGTGTCGGAAGAGCAGTTCAATTTCACCTTTTCCGTAGGCTGCAGGCCTCCTAACGTGTATGGTACATAAGCAAGGCACCACGCTGCAGAGTCTGGCCCAAAACAAATGACGCGGATTGCATGGATGCATGCATGTCGGTCCTCCGCTCGGCAGAATATCCTGCTTGTCTAGACGCACCGAATAAGGAGCGAGCGGGAACCCCTTGTGACAGCACGGGGAAACCCCTATATCTTGTGTCCACGTATTGGCTTGATGCATGGCGAAATGAGCTCCAGTCTGCAGGGAACATTGGCACGAACAGTCGCACTGTATTGATTGGCATGTCTAGGAGGGGGCTAGTCTTTAATTGCTCGCACACGCCTGTACGTTTTTTCTGGGGTAGTCGATGGGCTTGCCGCAGCCCGAAAATCAAACTATAACGAATCTAAGAGCGCCTCTGTTGTGTCCCTCCCCGCGCGCCATGTCTNTAGGGTTGCATGGGTGCATGCATGTCGGTCCTCCGCTCGGCAGAATATCCTGCTTGTCTAGACGCACCGAATAAGGAGCGAGCGGGAAACACTTGTGACAGCACGGGGAAACCTCTGTATCTTGTGTACACGTATTGGCTTGATGCATGGCGAAATGAGCTCCAGTCTGCACTGTATTGATTGGCATGTCTAGGAGAGGGCTCGTCTTTAATTGCTCGCACACGCCTGTACGTTTTTTCTGGGGTAGTCGATGGGCTTGCCGCTGCCCGAAAATCAAACTTTAACGAATCTAAGAGCGCCTCTGTTGTGTCCCTCCCCGCGCGCCATGTCTATCCTCAGGAAAAAAGCACGGGCGGCGCCTTTCAAGGTGTAGTAGCTGCGGGGGATGGCCTCTTCGTGAAGACTCTTGCTCCGACTGCCCTCAACACTCCGAACGTTCTCTCGTATTATAATGGGAGCAAGTGCGGCTACGGGTTTTGCAGCATGTCTTGCATTGCACCCGGCTCGACCAATGACTGGACGGCATGGAACCATTCGGATCTATCCACAGCGGTAAAAAACCTGCCGCCNCTGGGGTAGTCGATGGGCTTGCCGCTGCCCGAAAATCAAACTTTAACGAATCTAAGAGCGCCTCTGTTGTGTCCCTCCCCGCGCGCCATGTCTATCCTCAGGAAAAAAACACGGGCGGCGCCTTTCAAGGTGTAGTAGCTGCGGGGGATGGCCTCTTTGTGAAGACTCTTGCTCCGACTGCCCTCAACACTCCGAACGTTCTCTCGTATTATAATGGGAGCAAGTGCGGCTACGGGTTTTGCAGCATGTCTTGCATTGCACCCGGCTCGACCAATGACTGGACGGCATGGAACCATTCGGATCTATCCACAGCGGTAAAAAACCTGCCGCCAGGCTTCTACATGCTCGGAGACGCGGCTTACCCCCTAAGCGACCACCTGTTGACTCCGTACCCAGGGAGGGGACTACCGCTGGACAAAGATGCGTTCAACTTCTATCTGAGCCAACTCAGAGTCAGGATCGAGCAAGCGTTCGGCATTCTCGTCGGCCAGTGGGGCATCCTGTGGAAGCCGTTGCGTGTTCAGTTCGCTGGGCGCTGCGACCTCATCACGGCGCTCTTTCGCCTCCACAACTTTCTCCGGGACGAGAAGGTCACACCAATCCACCGGTCGGAAGAAGACGCCGAGGTGGTCCAGGTACGCCCCCACCTACTCGGCGACAAGTCTCTGCCAGGAACTTTCAGCACGACCACCAAGACCAACAAGGACGCGCAGAAACCGACCAGGTCAGGCGAAGTCTCCACGCGCAAGGGGATCACGATGATGCTGGACAACAAGCGCCAGTACCGCCCAAAGCACAACTTGGTGCGCAACGCAGCGAGGAAGACGTAAGGGGTCGAACGCGGGCGGGCTGCGGTGGAGGGTGGGTGGGTCCCGAGGACGTACTACGTGGGTGATGGACGAGACGAGGCAAATGTGGCGGTGGTGGCCTCTGAGGAGCGTGGGCCGTGGCCGGGGCGGGGGATGTGGACAATGGTGGNTCTTCGAGGAGCGTGGGCCGTGGCCGGGGCGGGGGATGTGGACAACGGTGGTCGGGAATGCAACGCCTTTGGTGGGGTAGGGCGTGGGGGGGGTGAAAGGGAAGGGAAGGCGCACGGGCGGGTGAGAAAATTTTTTGTTAAGGGGGGAGAGGGTCGGGCGCCAAATCCATATGCGCCTCTACGAGGACGTGGAGACAATTTTGCGGAAGTCGTGTTTTATGCGTTACAAACATCATCAACCGGGGTAATGCCTGAGTGGTGTCCGGTAAGACTNCGCCTTTGGTTGGGTAGGGCGGGGGGGGGGGGAAAGGGAAGGGAAGGCGCACGGGCGAGTGTAATTTTGTTTTTTAGGGGGAAGAGGGTCGGGCGCCAAATCCACATGCGCCTCCACGAGGACGTGGAGACAATTTTGCGGAAGTCGTGTTTTATGCGTTACAAACATCATCAACCGGGGTAATGCCTGAGTGGTGTCCGGTAAGACTTCGTCTTGTTTCGTTTTGTTTCGGTAAGTGTTGTCGCTTTTCATGACGTCGTTTGTTTGGGTGTCATTCCTGCGTTGTGCATCTCTTGCGCGAGAAAATTCGAATGTTGCAGAGNAGCCTGAGTGGTGTCCAGTAAGATTTCGTTTTGTTTCGGTAAGTGTTGTCGCTTTTCATGACGTCGTTTGCTTGGGTGTCATTCCTGCGTTGTGCATCTCTTGCGCGCGAAAATTCGAATGTTGCAGAGAGGCCGAAGGAGATTGTAGGTTTCCAAACGCATGTATTTTACAACGTTGGGCGTGTAGGGTAAGGGTGAGCACCCTCCCCCCTGTGTCGGGGAATTTGTTCATGCCATAGTTGCGTAATGAGAGATGGTAACCGAGTTTTTTTTTTTTTCTGACCTCACGATGTTGTCTCTAGGGAGACAGTATTGCCTGAACGGCATCATGGCGTAGACGGTCAGCTCCCACAGCCCGGGATAACCATATCGAGAATGGATCCGCGTTCAAAACGTTTTTTACGTTGTATTTGACTACGTTCGCGTCGTGAGGAGACGTTGTTTCCGAAGCATCTACGAATGCAGACGTTGGTTGGTGATAAACCCACCGACCAACAATAGCATGTGGTACTGCTGTACGTGGCTTAAAAAAATGAACTTTGGTCGTGCGCCACACGTTCTCTCTGCCTGTTGCCCCCCCCTAGTCATCTGTAAAAAAACGCCATCACAAAAATGACAAGTGGTACTGCTGTACAAACTTTGGTCATACGCCACACGTTTTCTCTTCGGACCTGATGGCCTTGCCCCTGTGGCGGCCCTCGCCGTCGGGGGAGATGGATCAGGGGTGTGTAGCGCCGACGATGCGCCAGAGATGCCTGGGAGCATTCCGCGCCCGCTCGAACCTTCGCCNTCGGCGACGAGTAGCCCGTCTCTTTGTGCTGTCTGCCATGGTGTCTTGGTTGTGGAGGTGTTCACGGCGAAGGTGGTGTGTGTGTTTGTGTGGGTCGTGCTTGTTGCTTGTTGGCACCAGACAAGCGGCGAGATAAATTTGGAATAATTGGAAGACCAGCTGGTGCACGTATAAAATGAGCCGTTCGGTTTCTAATATTTGGCGCCAAAAATTTGGAAATTTTGGAACAATAATTTGCAATGTATAAAACGGCCCTTAGGAATAAAAGCCAGGTCATGGGTTCGAGTCCCCACAGAGTGAGTTTTTTTTTCACTAAATATATCCTGGTCTAGGATGAAAGCGACGCGCTGCAAGGCTCGTTGCTAGTAAACCATAATCGACTTCGTAAGTCGCGAGGGAAGGGATTGCTGTACCCTTCTCGCGATAAAAATACATCAGGCATGAACCGCAGGAAGGGGTCGAGCCCCCCCCTCCTATGTGACCCCGGTTGGGTCGTCCAGCTAGTAGAAGTGGAGGATAGGGGCCAGAGGGGCAGACGACAGAGTCCAATGATGGGAGAAACAAAAAAAAAAGGG